TTCCGGGGACACATTCCTCAGCACGGGGAGGCATTGCCACTTCACCCTGAGATAGAAGCAAGGAGGACGAGGTTGCATTCTCCTGAGAAATGGAGGCGGAAGTTCTCGCCATCCCTAAAAAATTCTTGAAGAAAAAGGGAAGTTGTGCTCTTAAAGAAGAACGAGAGTAAAAACAGAAGGAGCCTCCTATGGGGTTCGAAAATGTAGTAAGTTGGAAGGAACGAAAAGGGGAGTACTTATAGAAACCCCACGTGCGCGTCGAAGAAGGCCAAGGGGGCGGCTAACTGCCATAATCAATGCGAAGGCCTTCAAGGGCTGCGTATATCGTCTTTTTGGCATCGTATGGACGCCATTGTTGCAACGGCGGGGGGTGAAAATTCAAGGTCGTTTCTTATTGCTTTCACTCTAAGAAACGCGGAGACTATCTGTGTAGGGTAAAATTGGGGGGTTCATTTTCCCCGTTACCATGATGCCCCATAAGGACACTTCCCGAGGCTCGAGACCGGGGTCGAGGTTCACCTTAGAGGGATTGTCGGTGTTCGATCTCAGAGCCTTGTGGATCAACGGATATATTGAGAGAAATGGGGAGTTCCCAAGATACACAGCTAGGGCTGACAGAGCCTAGTGGACTACCCTAACCCTGAATCAGGGTGTCATATCTAGCTGTCCCGTCTCCGTTTCTTTGTCTTTAATACATTTTGTACTATATTGAGACTCCCCTCCTATATAAAGGGGATCCGTATCATTATGTAAGGGCAAGTTGCTCCAGCTTCTCCACACGAATATACAAAAAAGAACATTCTCTCTGCTCTCTAACATACTTTCTTGTTATTATTGCTTTCATTTATTATCTTCAAACTTGTTCATCATTTATTGCTTATAATTGGCCATAAAGAGCCTTCTTTGATTTTATTATAACTGTTAGTTACACCTTGATCACCCCCGATAGCTCATTATCGGGCCACGGAACCGACCTCGAGGCCTCCGTATCGACAAGCTCGAGGCCCCGATTGTCAGCCTCTCGGTTTGGTTATCGCCTTATCTTTAGCTCCCGTTTCGTCTCTAAACTTCATACACATAGCATCATCTGCTTAACAACTAGCACAAAAATAGATCACGTATTTTTAGAGTCACATTAACAAATTTAATTGTAATTACCATTTTCACGGTAAACAAGGGCCGTAAAGCTGGAATTCCGCCTGATTCTTAATTTTTCGTGTGCTAGCCCACGCCATCTGCATTGATCTTGGCGACCGGACTCGTATCGCCTTAAGTTTTGTCGGCCCATCAAAAGCGACCTAAGAAACAATAGTCATTGTCTCGCCATGACCGTTCCTCGTTTTTTGGCATTTTAGGGCCATAAAACTAGAAATTTGCCCAATTTGTAGATTTTTGTGTGATATAGCCCATGCCATATGCATAGGTCCGGGCGACTGGACCATAATCGCTTAAAACTGAAACTCTGCCTGATTCCTAGATTTTCGTATGCTATATCCCACGCCATATGCATGGGTCCGGGCGACCGGACTTGAATCGCTTAAAAAAGTTTCAGGCCAACAAAAACGACCTAAGAAAATAATAGTAATCGCCTCGCCATGGCCGTTCCTCATTTTTTGGAATTTTTGGGCCCTAAAACTTGAACTCTGCCTGATTCTCAGATTTTTATGTGCTATAGCCCACGACATCTGCTTGGGTCCGGGCGACCGGACCCGAATCGCCTAAAATATTGTCGGCCCGTCAAAAATGACCTACCGAACAATAGTAATCGTCTCGCCATGACTGTTCCTCATTTTTTGCGTTTTAGGGCATATTAACTTGAATTTCATCTGATTCCTAGATTTTCCTGTTCTATGACTCGCGTCTTCTGCATGGGTCCGGGTAACTGGGCCCGAATCGCCTAAAATTTGGTCGGCCCATCCAAAATAACCCAAGGAACAATAGTTATAGCCTCGCTATGACCATTCCTCATTCTTTGGCGTTTTAGGGCCGTAAAACTGGAATTCCGCCGAATCCCAAGATTTTCGTGTGCTATAGCCCACGCCATATGCATGGGTCCGGGCAACTATACCTGAATCGCCTAAAATATTGTCGGCCCATCAAAAATAACCTAAAGATCAATAGTCATAGTCTCGCTATTACCGTTCCTCGTTATTTGGAATTTTAGGGACAAAATCGAAAATCCTACACTCCCAAATTTTCGTATGTTATAGCCCATGCCATCTGCATGGGTCCAGGCGACCGGACCCGGATCGCCTAAAAATTTTCCAGCCGATCAAAAATGACCTAAAGAACAATAGTCATCGCCTCGCCATGACCTTCCTAGTTTTTTGTCATTTTAATTAGGGCCATAAAACTGGAATTCCGCCCGATTCTCAAATTTTTGTGTGTTATAGCCTGCGCCATCTACATGGGTCCGGGCGACCAGACTCGTATCGTCTAAAATTCTTTTGGCCCGTCAAAAATGACCTAAAGAACAATAGCCATCGCCTCTCTATGATCGTTGCTCATTTTTTAGCGTTTTAGGGATGTAAAACTGGAATTTCGCCCGTTTCTCAGATTTTTGTGTGCTATAGCCCATGCCATATGCATGGGTCTAGGCGAACGAACCTGAATCGTCTTAAATTTTTCCGGCCAATCAAAAGTGACTTAAGTAACATTAGGCATCGCCTCGCCATGATCGTACCTCATTTTTTGGCATTTTAGGTCAATAAAATTAAAATTCAGCCTCATTCCTAACTTTTCGTGTGCTATAGCCCGCGTCATCTGCATGGGTCTGGGCGACCGGACCCGAATTGCCTAAAATTTTGCTGGCCCATCAAAATCGACTGAAGGAACAATAGTCCTCGCATCTCCATGATCGTTCCTCATTTTTTAGAATTTTAGGGCCATAAAATAGGAATTCCGCCCGATTCTCAGATTTTCGTATGCCATAGCCCATGCCAACAACATGGGTATGGGCGACCGGACCCGAATCGCCTAAAATTTTGTCAGCCCGTCAAAAATGACCTAAGGAACAATAGTCATCATCTCGCAATCATTGTTCCTCATTTTTTGTCGTTTTAAGGCCATAAAACTAGAATTCCACCCGATTCCTAAATTTTCGTGTGCTATAGCCCACCCTATCTGTATGGGTCCGGATGAATGGACCCGAATTGCCTTAATTTTGCAGGGCCATCAGAAACGACCTAAGGAGAAATATTCATCGCCTCCCATGAATGTTCCTCATTTTCTGGCGTTTTGGGGCAATAAAATTGGAATTCCGCCCGACACTGAGATTTTCCTGTGCTATAGCCGGCGCCGTGTGCATGGGTCTGGGCGACCGGATCCGAACCGCCCAAAATTTTGCCGACCTGTCAAAAACGATCAAAGGAACAACAGTCATCGTCTCGCCATGACTGTTCCTCATTTTTTGGCGTTTTAGGGCCATAAAACTGGAATTCCGCCTGATTCCTAGATTTTCATATGCTATAGCCCACGCCATTTGCATAGGTCCGGGCGACCGGACGTGAATCGCCTAAAATTTTGCCGGCCCATCAAAAACGACCTAAGGGACAATAGTCATTGCCTCGCTATGACGGTTCCTCGGCTTTTGGCATTTTAGGGCCATAAAACTAGAATTTTACCTGATTCTCAGATTTTCGTGTGCTATAGCCCACGCCATCTCCAGGTGACCGGACTCGAATCGCCTAAAATTTTGTCGGCCCATCAAAAACGTCCTAAGGAACAATGGTCATCGCCTTGTTATGTTTGTTCCTCATTTTTTGGCGTTATAGGGACATAAAACTGGAATTCTGCCTGATTCCCATATTTTCGTGTGCTATAGCCAACGCCATCTACATGGGGCCGGGCGACCGGACCCGAATCGTCTAAAAATTTGTCGGCCCATCAAAACGACCTAAGAAATAATAGTTATCGCCTCGCCATGACCGTTCCTCATTTTTTGGTGTTTTAGGGCCGTCCACCCAATTGCTTAAACTAAAAATAGCCGTCGGAGGTAAAATATATGCATAATTTATGTATTATACGTACATAATTATGTATAATCAATGTATAAACTTCATATATGGTTAGAAAAATTAAATAATGAATATGGCGGGCTATTTGTGTAAAGATCCCATGTAACAAACCCATTTTGCAAATAAGAAGAAATGGTAAAGATGAAGAAAAAAAGCGTATGGATCTGAAGTTATCCAAAAATTGGATATCTGTTAAATTCTTTTTAAGAAAATAGGTACCAATTTAATGGGTGGCGCAAAACTGGGTGCCATATGAAAATTTTGCCAAATACTGCTATCAATTTCTTATTACATCCTGAGGAAAAGTTGGTGCAATAGTCAAAATCCGCCTAATTTTCAATCATGGGTACTTACATTTCAGGCACTTCCATCTACTTATATTGATAATTATAAAATAGCCCGTTATGGAATACCTTCCACCAGAAAATGGGATCAACACCCCTATTGCATATTGATACACATAGAGTGTACTTTGATATAAGGGGTATTTCCATGGGTTTGCCTTGGTATCATGTTCATACCATTGTAATTAAATTATCCAGGTTGGTTGCTTTTTGTTCATACAAGTATAAAGCTCTGATTGTTGGTTGGGCCGCTGTTGAAACAAATAGATAAGCACCTTTGGATAAACCAATTTCATCTATTTAGGGATATGTACTTCTACAAGCAGGCCTGATTTCACCTATTTGTATTCACCTCTCCTCCGACCTCCCTATGGAAAATAAACTAATTGCTTCATTTCATTATGCTTGTATAAAGAATGGAGAGAAGAATAGGTGAAAAGACCAGTAGAAGACTAATGGAAAATTATGTAGAATGTTCCTTCATGCATATCTTAATTCTCTTAGGGTAAACTCAATCTATAATTGGGTGTTCTGCTGTTACATAACCTGTTAAATGTATTTCAGAGAGAGAGAGATGAGTGAGCTCCTAACCACTCAGAGGAAGCCTTCTCCGTGACCTTTATCATTCCTCATCTGTCGATCAGTTCTCCACCTCACTCCCGCTACTTGAATCATCACTATCTGCAACTGACGACCGACCTTCTCGTGAACCAGAATTTTCATGAAGGCTGTACTTGAGGAACTTCACCCTGCTGTTGTGTTCTAAATCTTTTCCTTTGCGCTTTTGTCTTTTAGGTTCTGCTGACTGCATTGTGTGGTCAGCAGCAACAAATGCAGCACTAGTAGATTCATTCATCTGTTCATCACCTTCTTCCTCATCTTCTTCTGCCTTATTATCAATGTAGAACAGAAGATCAGTGTCTAATTTTTCCTTGCCATCTTTCGAAATTGGTTGTCCAAAGCCCTCCGTCATACTATCTAGCAGCAATTTAGCTCGGGTTTTTGACATGTTATTATCAAAGATTCTTACACCATGCTGTCCTATCTTTAGAATCCACCCTGTAATATTCAAGGTGTCAAAGTTTACCAATATAACATAAACTACCTATCCTAACTTGGTAGTTAGTACCAAACTGTGATAAAAGGTGTTGGAATTACTTACTCAATAATGCAGCAGGGGATGAACTAATTGGTTCACTAGCTTTGTCTTCTGTACCAATCGCACTTCTGATCCACATGATTATCGAAGAAGGTAAAGTAGAACCAGAAAAGACATTTGTGTAAGAAATTGCTTTCCTCTGGTCCTTCTGTTTTCTGCAGAAAAAGAAATAGTCATCAAACTTCAGCATCTCAAAAAGAACTTAGAACATGACACCCAAGCTTTCTAACCTATGCAACTCAATAGCTTCAGCAGTAAGTAACAGTCTTGTCATGATAATACGTTTCACATGCTTGGTAGAGAGCTGATCCATTCGCTCAGGCTTTAGGAAAGAATATTCCACCAGCACCACGGCATTATAGAGTATCTTTCTTAAACACTTCTCATCATCTGAATTCTGCAGGGTAATTGGAGGTGAAAATAAGAGGGAAGTCTGTTGAATCCTCAAAACAGCATAAAAGCATAATTGGGCAACTTCAACTTGAAGCCTATGACACGCTAGAGTCAACCATCAAGCAATCTAAAAGCTTATTGTAAATTCAGTTCATTATTCTACAAAGTATTTTCTGCCAAAAGGAACTAAAAATAAGCAAATGAACATAATTCCCCAAAGAGTTAGGATACTGGAGCGGAACATGTCACTTATTACGAGAGGGTTTAAAAAGACTCAAAGACAATGGGGCCCAACGGCCAAGCGAGCTAATACTGTGACAAGGGTCATATGTTCAAACCTCTCAAGAAGCTTCTTTGCGCATATTTTAACTCTTTCTATTTGAATAAAAGCTACAGCGGCCAAGTGGAGCTCAAACTGCAGCAAGGTCACATGTTCGATCCTCTCGAGAAGCTGCTCTATGCATGGTTTAACTCTTCCTTTTTATCATAAAAAGAATAAAAAGACTCAAAGAGAGTGAGGCCAAGATATCTAACCAGTAGGGAGGCTGTTGGAAGAGATGGCTCCAGCAGCATCATTGAAAGGGTCTCTGAATTCAAAGATAGGAGAAGTTAGTATAGTTTGAAAATCACAAAATTAAAGAATCAAAGTAGAGAAAACTGCAACTCGGAGATGTCGATCCGCCAAACAGACTTCATGGAATATGGAAGAGCAAAGGCATCATAAGGAATTAAATTAGAGACAAACAGAACAACAAATTCAATAAGCAACACCAACAATCAAGAACAACTCCTATATCTTATTCCTTCTCTATCTAATACAATGTAAGTATACCCATTACCAAAAAATATATATCACTTTGGGACACATGCGCATAGCCGCCGCGCGTGGCTAAAGGTCAACCAAAAAAAAGTATTGTTAAGGAATCAGAAGAATATGGTAAAGTTATTAGTCATTTTTGTTATGGAAGCATTCAGCAGGCTTGTAGCAGGAAGATCCATTAAGGGTTTGAAGTAGCGGATGAAAGGAGAAGTAGAACGATCATTCTCATGTGATGATACGTCAATATTTCAGGGAAAATGATTTGATAATTTGAGATTGTGTCAAGACTACGTATCATCATGTAGAAGTACGAGTTGGTACTAGAAAGGATAGGCTCAAACTTTATACTTCGTAGTAGATTCGTGGATTAAAACGGCAACAATTATCCATTACATTATCATGCATTGATCTTAAAGACCCAATAAACCTTGGCGTTCTTTCACGCTTCCACTCTTACAACAATAGGATGGAATGAAGTGAACAGGCTGAAAGTCATTTACAGTGAGTTTTCCATAATGATGAAAGGGATATAAGATGTATTAGCAGATTTATTTTTCCATAATGATGAAAGGGATATTAGATGTATTAGCAGATCTTTTTCCTTTCATCTTTTACTTGGTCTAAATATGATACTGGTGTGCAGTGATGATTGAGTTTGATAACTGTAGTAGAGTCACTCTGTAAATATTTTTGACACCAATTTGGTTTATGACTAATGAAATGATCTTTACTAATTGAAAAAAGAAATGATCTTGACTTATAAAAAATATGGTAAAGTTACATCTCCATTACACTTAGGAGTAACGTCAACTAGGGCCCCTAAAAAGAAGATAGTTATTCTGCCTGCTTTTGCAGACATGCATCAAAGTGACCAAGTGGCAATAAAAGAAGTTAGATTATCCTTATCTATATTTGCAGCCGTGCAACAGAGCATCTGGGTGAAGTGAAGATCCAGGCGCAAAATTCATGAAAGTGAATGTAATGACTTATTCCTTTTAGCACATATAGCGGGAAACCATGCTTACAAATGACATAAGCTAAAGTGGAGAAAGGGTTCACAAAGAACAACAGTAATCCCAAACCACTTGCCAAAAAGTACAGCAACTTAGCCACCAAAAGAAAGCAAAAAAGAAGAAAAAAATCTTCCTGGGTGATTGTTCATTATAACTTTCCAAGAAAAAGTCATGGCAACATAAGCAACAAGTTCATATTGGACTTAAGGCATAATCAAGCTAAAGCAATGAACTCCAGGGTCCAGGGACAACAGTACTTAATCAGAACACATACAAATAGAAAAGAGTGTTCAGATAGAGGAGTAGCTGGGTTAATAAAAACTATACAAGGCATTCCTAATTTCTCAGAGGTTAGGCACACAGTCAACACCACAGAGGTTTCGTTATTTGAACTGTCCAGAGAGGTAAATTTGCCAGTTATTTAAATACTATCATCGTAATTGCTGCCTTTTGAAAAAATTGGGTATAGTTTGTCACTTTGACAGGCAGTCCCTGGGGCACTTTACCCAAATTTTCCACTTTATTGAGAAGAACAATAAGTTATTTAAATAGTAGTATTGTGATTACATGGTTTACTGCTCATAAAGTCACACTATGACCTTGCACAGACAAACACTTTCTCAACCAGAGAAACACCTTCCAAATTATCCAAACTTCACTAGAAAAATTATTTCAATCATAGACACTAACCAAAGAAGTATGGATTCCGAAACCCAGTGATGGAAGTAATGATCCACATGCTCAACTCGTCCTGAAATTCTTTTCTCGAACCATCTTCCAAAAACCTCAAGCATAACTTCAGCAAGAATGCCACCGTGGTCACACAACCAGCCAATGCGCTCAACTCACACCCTTCAGCACTTACCCTTTCAACAACCTCACCAGTCAAAAGTGGAAGAAAATCTCTCACACATCCTTTATTATCCCACATCCAAACATCCACTAGCTCCCTCACTGGCCTAACCAATCCCTCTGGAACATCACAACTACTTTTCTCTATACCCTCACAGCATACATTAACGTACCCAAGAACTGAATCAACTAAACCCTTTACCTCTCTCCCAAATTTCTTCTCTTTCTTAGCTTTCAAACCCATTGCCATCCTAACCACATTATATATAACGGGTGCAATTAAGGAAATGCTTTTAAAAGGATTACATGAAGCAGAACAAGAAACTGTAAGTTGAAACAAATCTTTTTTGGCATCAACTCTTTTAGAAGGGTCATTTTCTGGTGAGCTGAAGCCACGAAAACGTAGAGCTGAGTAAAACCAGATGGTTTCAAAAGGTGGGCCGGCTCTACATTGTACTAATTCGTCAAAATTTGAACTCAAAGATGACAACTTCTCAGAGTTTGGAGAGTCTACTACCGCTTGGATTAGATTACTTAGTGCAACATTATCGTTTTGGCCAAGGAGATTACTGCAAACTTGAGGCTTTACGGATTCCATATGAACTGAAACCATAATTCAAACCCTTCGAATGAAAAGCTAAAACGTTGATTAGTAAGAAGACCCAGAGATATAAGGAAATTCAGGTTCGACAAAGGGTCAAAAATGCCCTTAACATATTAAGGATGACTCAAATTTGCCCTCCTTCCACCTATTGGACCATAATTGCCCTTAAAATTAATCTTTAGGTTAAAAATGCCCCTCCTTTTGACAGAAGTATGAAATGGCATATGTGAAACTTTCAATTAAACAAGTGGCACACCTTTAATGGTCCATATGAATAGTAGACCCAATCCTTAAATAACCCGACCCATTTGAATTAACCCAAAACCAAACCCTTTTTATCTTGAGCCTACTTTCCTTTGTCCCCTCGTATGATTTGTCTTCTCCATATTCTTTTTTTCTTTTTTCAAATCCCACAACCAACATTGACGTTATAGTAAAGTTTCTTACACACAACAAGTAAGCAACTCCCTAAAGTACAAAAGTAAGCGCGCTAAATGTTGTCATGCCGAGAAGCGACCACAACAGCAAACACCAAATCAACCTACACCACTACCTGAGATGCCATGTCCCTGGCGTGAAAGATTTTAGCTAAAAATTTTACAGAGAGTAATGATGTAGGTGAAACCCAGTGGACCAAATTGAGATGAAATACAACATTGCGGGTTTTGGTTCTGGGTCAATTCGGATGGGTCGGGTTATTTAAGGGTTGGGTCTACTATCTATATGGACCAATAATTAGTGCCATCTACTTACTTAAAAGTTCCACAAATATATCTCATACTTTTGTTATACGGAGAGACATCTTTAACCCAAATTTGAGACATTTTTTACCCTTTTTCGTTTAGGGTTTTAGGAGAGCGGGTAAATTTCCTATGCATCGGCTGTATAGTTCCTTAGTGTGGGCAAGCAGAAGGAAGCGCCTGGAACGTGTATTCTCCCATCCTATTAGCTGAAGTAGTGGGGTCCATGACACGCAGGATAACAATAGCCAATAAGAAACAACTAGAGACGTAAGATGAAATTAAAAAATAGAATTTAGCCAAAGAGTTAGGATACTGGAGCGGAACATGTCACTTATTATGAGAGGGTTTAAAAAGACTCTAAGACAGTGGGGCCCCAACGGCCAAGCGAGCTAATATTGTGACCAAGGTGATATGTTCAAACCTCTCAAGAAGCTTCTGTGCGCATATTTTAACTCTTTCTATTTGAATAAAAGATACAGCGGCCAAGTGGAGCTCAAACTGCAGCAAGGTCACATGTTCGGTCCTCTCGAGAAGCTGCTCTATGCATGGTTTAACTCTTCCTTTTTATCATAAAAAGAATAAAAAGACTCAAAGAGAGTGAGGCCAAGATATCTAACCAGTAGGGAGGCTGTTGGTAGATATGGCTCCAGCAGCATCATTGAAAGGGTCTCTGAATTCGAAGATAGGAGAAGTTAGTATAGTTTGAAAATCACAAAATTAAAGAATCAAAGTAGAGAAAACTGCAACTCGGAGATGTCGATCCGCCAAACAGACTTCATGGAATATGGAAGAGCAAAGGCATCATAAGGAATTAAATTAGAGACAAACAGAACAACAAATTCAATAAGCAACGCCAACAATCAAGAACAACTCCTATATCTTACTCCTTCTCTATCTAATACAANTGCCTGATTCTCTCGTCTTTCATCTCTATACTCGATTGATGGTAGAAACCCTAAAATTTGGGGGTTCATTCGAGTTTTGAGACTATTTGCTATGTGATTTGCTTGTTCCTCATCTCTGAACTTGTTTGGTTTCAAAATCCTAATTTCTTTGGACCTATTCGAGTATCTGAAGTTGTTTCATCTACTGCTCGACTGAGTTTCGAAATCTTTGTTTCAACTTTTGTTTCTTTGTATGATTCTGACTTCCTGCTAAACTCTATAAGATCTTTTACTTGACCCCTTTTGCATGCTATTGGATACTCCCTCTTCTCTGTTACTGAGGTGACTACCATGTTCCTATAGTCCACTACTTACTGATTTTGTGATTGTATGACACTTCTCTTTGCCGATTCAGCCTTGCATGCTTAATGTTTATGCACTCTTTATAGGCTAAATTTCTCTCTCAAAATAACCCTTAATTGTGGATTGATTTCAGACCTCCTCATGTAAATTTGATTGATTCTTTTCTTGTTTACTGATTTCCCTGTTTCTTGGGTTGATTTGAAAGCTTTCCATAGCCTTTCGATTCTCCTATTTCTGACTTGGTTTATTTGTTTATTCATGAATCAGTAATTCGAATCCCTGACTCCTTGATTTACTATGTACTTATTGCCTCTATATTCTGCAGCTTTACTTTGTTTTCTTACCTTATTTGGTTAACCGAGTCTTTCAAAGATCTTCCCTTAATTAAACCCTTATGTATTTACCCCTAATTGTCTACTTTGCACAAGATGTTGTTGATACCCAATTTTTCCCTGTCTATTTTTTTATATGCAGAATATCTTAAAAATAGCACATATATGCACGTATAAGTATGTCCAAGCATTTTATTATTTTTCCCATAATTTTTAAGGTTTTAAACTGATTTATTTCCCTTTTTCATCCATAAAAGCCCAATGATTATTTTCAAAATTATTATTTTTTTTGGTAATTTAGTTATTGGAATTTTATATTTATACTAAAATGTAGCTAACATAATTTTTATATATTTTTACAAATCTATTTAGTATTTTTAAAGCTAAATTTCATATAATTGCAACATTAGCCTATTTTAAGATTTAATTGCATTTTATACTTACAAAATTGATTCCAGTATTTTAATTTAATATTTATATTTTATAAATCATTTTTAGTACTTTCAATTTATTTCCAAAATTTAATTTGCTATTTTTATAAAATAAATGGGGGAAAATGGCTATTTAAAATCTAGCCAGATTTTATTTCGATTGTAGCCTAAATTCTACCCCAACTGAACCCAATTGAACCCCAGCCCAATTCCTAAAATTACCCGACCCATAGCCCGTTTAAACGACCCACCCGACCCCCCTTTAAATCCCAGCCGTTGATCTAACAGATCAACGGCTCACGTTCCCCTTTCCTTAATTAATTCCAAATGACCCCAAACCCTTCTCATTTTTCACCTACCAGCCGCCCATGAACCCTCCATTCTCTCAAACTCTCTCGAAGCTTCTCAAACCCTAGCCACCACTTCCGCCCTGAAAGCCACCGGAATCCATGGCTTCCAAGGTTATGGAAGCCCTACACNACATGCTCAACTCGTCCTGCAATTCTTTTCTCGAACCATCTTCCAAAAACCTCAAGCATAACTTCAGCAAGAATGCCTCTGCGGTCACACAACCAGCCAATGCGCTCAACTCACACCCTTCAGCACTTACCCTTTCAACAACCTCACCAGTCAAAAGTGGAAGAAAATCTCTCACACATCCTTTATTATCCCACATCCAAACATCCACTAGCTCCCTCACTGGCCTAACCAATCCCTCTGGAACATCACAACTACTCTCCTCTATACCCTCACAGCATACATTAACGTACCCAAGAACTGAATCAACTAAACCCTTTACTTCTCTCCCAAATTTCTTCTCTTTCTTAGCTTTCAAACCCATTGCCATCCTAACCACATTATATATAACGGGTGCAATTAAGGAAATGCTTTTAAAAGGATTACATGAAGCAGAACAAGAAACTGTAAGTTGAAACAAATCGTTTTATGGCTGCAACTCTTTTAAAAGGGTCAATCTCTGGTGAGCTGAAGCCACAAAAGCGTAGAGCTGAGTAAAAACAGATGGTTTCAAAAGGTGGGTCGGCTCTACATTGTAATAATTCGTCAAAATTTGAACTCAAAGATGAATACTTTTCAGAGTTTGGAGAGTCTACTACCTCTTGGATTAGATTACTTAGTGCAACTTCATCGTTTTGGCCAAGGAGATTACTGCAAACTTGAGGCTTTATGGATTCCATATGAACTGAAACCATAATTCAAACCCTTCGAATGAAAAGTTAAAACGTTAATTAGTAAGAAGACCCAGAGATATAAGGGAATTCAGGTTCGACAAAGGGTCAAAAATGCCCTTAACATATTAAGGATGACTCAAATTTGCCCTCCTTCCACCTATTAGACCATAATTGCCCTTAAAATTAATTTTTAGGTTAAAAATGCCCCTCCTTTTGACAGAAGTATGAAATGGCATATGTGAAACTTACAATTAAACAAGTGGCACTACTTTAATGGTCCATATGAATAGTAGATCCAATCCTTGAATAACCCGACCCATTTGAATTAACCCAAAACCAAACCCTTTTTATCTTGAGCCTACTTTCCTTTGTCCCCTCGTATGATTTGTCTTCTCCATATTTTTTTTTCTTTTTTCAAATCCCACAACCACCATTGACGCTATAGTAAAGTTTCTTACACACAACAAGTAAGCAACTCCCTAAAGTACAAAAGCAAGCGCGCTAAATGCTGTCATGCCGAGAAGCGACCACAACAGCAAATACCAAATCAACCTACACCACTACCTGAGATGCCATGTCCCTGACGTGAAAGATTTTAGCTAAAAAATTTATAGAGAGTAATGATGTAGGTGAAACCCAGTGGACCAAATTGAGATGAAATACAACATTGCGGATTTGGGTTTTGGGTCAATTCGAATGGGTCGGGTTATTTAAGGGTTGGGTCTACTATCTATATGGACCAATAATTAATGCCATCTACTTACTTAAAAGTTCCACAAATATATCTCATACTTTTGTTAAAGGGAGAGACATCTTTAACCCAAATTTGAGATATTTTTTACCCTTGTTCGTTTAGGGTTTTAGGAGAGTGGGTAAAGTTCCTATGCATCGGCTGTATAGTTCCTTAGTGTGGGCAAGCAGAAGGAAGCGCCTGGCATGTGTATGCTCCCATCCTATTGGCTGAAATAGTGGGGTCCTTGACACGCAGGATAACAATAGCCAATAAGAAACAGCTAGACACGTAAGATGAAATTAAAAAATAAATAAAGGTAGAAATCTCCTCCTCAAAATATAAACAGAACTCTTCTACAGTGATACCAAGACAGAACGAAAGTTTGTTTACAGAATTAATGGCGAAGGTGGCATTGTTATTATTGTTATCATTGATGGTGATAACAACATGGTTGCCTATTACTCACTGCGCAAAGAAACTAGTAGGGGTGGCAAGAAAAGAGGACATTCCCTATATAAAATGTCAGGTGTGTGAGAAGCTGGCTTATCAGCTATACAATGGAGTTCAGAACAAACGAGCTGAGATCTCGCCAAAGAAGGTAACTTTCTCATCTGTGGTTCCCTTTTTCTAGCTCACTTACGTATATTTAGTATTCTGGAAAGTTCAATTTTGATCAGAATTGAGAATACTGATTAAACATGGAGGTTTGTAATTGGTTTTTGGATGATATTTGCGTTTAACTATTGTTTCCTCTGGGTTTATTTTTTCCCTTAATGTCTTCTATTTGTCTGATGCAATGGATGTGGTTTGATGATGTCAGATCTCGGAATATCAGATAATAGAGATTTCAGAGAATGTATGTAATTTAAAGAAGCAGGAAGCTGATTGGATCCTTAAAATTGATATAGTTGAACAAGGAGATAGGTTGGAGGTAAGAATTATGCCCGTCTTCTTTTCTTTACTTCTGATATTGCGGCTTAGTACATCTTCTTTACCTTATATAACTTCTTTTTGGTGAATTCGACTGATGGTATACAATTTTGAAGTGCTGCTGATGGGCACCAAGTTCATCTTTTTTTTTTTACATATTTCTGAAAGGTTTTTCACTTGGTATTTACTTATGTTCAGCTGGTTGAACAAGACTCTGAGGGACAATGTAATTCAGAATGTAAAACAATAGAGCGTGCTTGTCAAGATGTAAGTTTTCCTACTTATTATGTGCATTTGGTTTTAGTAATGATGCATACTAGCACAGAGTTCATGAATGCTTAAAGGGTTCATAATGACATTGATAGATGCTTACGTTTGAATCTCCAGCTACAAAAGTGTTTTTAACTTTTCCCAAATAAAAAGCTCATGTGCTTACCAATTTACTCTCCTTGTGCAATTATGATTTGATCACGTTAATAATGATATCCATACTCATTGGCTTCCTAAGTCAAACGAGCAAGAGCACATAGTATGTTGCTCTTGAAAATCCTTTGTTGCTTCAGTGCCACTGGAAAAAGACTGTGCATTGATTTTGTTGATTCAAACCTTAAACCTTCCTTTCTATCCTTTCCGCTTCTGCTAGTAGTGTTAGATTGGGGAAGTCGATTCATCTGCAAACGTTGTGCAAGGTATAACTTGTTTAGTGAGCAGATTCTATATGGTGCTGTCTTAAGTAGGACAAGCAGACAATTTTCTTGCAGCAGTTATCTCTCTCTTCATATTTTTGCAGGTCATGGACTATTCTGATACGGATGTGGCAGAATATCTGTACAAACACAATCCAGATCTTGATTCTTTGAAAAGTTTCCTTTGCAAGGATTTGACTAAAGCTTGTAGTAAGGCACCACCTTCAGTTCCTAAGGTAATGTCACTGATGATTCACCTGTAAATTCATCCAATATCCAAATTTCTGTGCATTCTTCTCCTTCTTGCTGCCTTCTGTGGCCCACTATTAGCTTGTTTTGTAAAACATATAGCAAGTAGTTCTTGTTCTTTAGCTTTATCAGAAAAAATTAGTCCCTGTTCTTTAGACATGAGAGATGAGCCACATCCCAAAATGTTTTCATCTTTTGTTGTAATGCTAAACTGTGTCTTTTATCAGACATGTAGTTGGTTTGTGCCAGTAATTCAGCTGTAGGAAGAGTGAGCTCTGCTTGAGCACGTACTGTTTCGAAGTATTTGGTTATTGAAAAACACAGAGATATCTGTGAATTATTGGTGACAAATTATACATGTATTGTTTCAGTTCCATTTTGGGAAGAAATGAAATTGGTTGCTAGCTAAGACTGAGAGACTCAACTCAAAATGATAGAAAATGACCACTTGTAATAATCTGGACAATATGCCAAGGTGCTGATTTTGAGCCAACGGTCTATTGGAAACCGCCTCTCTATCTTCAAGGTAGGGGTAAGGATTGCGTATACACTGCCCTCCCCGAACGCCACTTGTGGGTCTATATTGGGATTGTTGTTGTATGGCAAGATACTGATTTAAAGATGCATCGAATAATGCATATATGCATTTGTATGCTGGAACCAAAATGTTTATGGACTAAAACCTTTGGAAGTGTTGGGCCAGAAGCATACATTATTATGAAACGTTTTGTTAAATACAATAGATCCTTCCTTTGGAAACAGAAGCCATCTGAAATCTGCTTTTGTGCTTTGCAACCTTGAATGACAATATTCTACCCATGAAAAGTTCGTCACACCAATCCATTGTTATTTGATTGAAGGCTTCTTATTCTTCTAAGCATAGTATAGCATGTTCTTGATTGCCTTGGTGCTACATGCTGATTTAGCTGTTAAATAAGCAATACAATTAGCTTACACATTCATGGGTTGGTATTCTTTCTTCTTTTACTTCAGAATAGAGCCCCAGGAGAACCTTTTGTTTCTAAGTCCTCAAAAGAGGCTGAAATGGAAAAGCTAATGAGATCCATGCAGGTAATTTTTCTAGCTTATCACTAGTGTCAACTGATTGATTTCTCTCTATATTATGCCTGTGATTGAAAATTCGGAATTTACAACATTTTTTGCTTCAGGGTATGCCTGGAGCCCCTGGCATGCAAATGTATTCCAGGGAAGATTTGATGAACCAAAATTTTGGTGATGAAGATGCTGATGACGATGATGATGATGATGAAGGCGGCTTTCCCTCAAAGCTGGTATAGACTAGTTGCCTCTTTTGATAGACTGCTTTTAAATCAGTCAAAAGTGTTCAATTGATATGGAAATTTCTGCAGGGGAAGGTTCTTAAAGGAAAAGAAAGTAAGAAGAGTGATTGGAAGCAATGGATCACTAAAGGGATTCAGGATACAAGTGAGGCTCTGAAGACTCACGCTAACAGAGTGTCCCACAGGATGAGAAATTGGTGGGGAGCAAAGAAAGCACAATGGAAGAAGAATTCCAAAACCAGCAAGGGGGAGCTATAATGATGTGCTATGCTCTGCAACATGGCGGAAGGTTTTGTCCTCTCTTTTTTCTCCCCTTCCAATGTAGTCTGATATTGACTAGAAAAGTAACAAAAAGCTACGCACAAAAGAGACTGGAAATTTGTAATTCTCTGTCTTATGATCTGCCCACGAGATTTTGTTTCTCTGCCAACATTATTATCATGTTGGTACGTTTGTTTTAGGTACAATATTTCTTAGAGTCTTGTAGTCTTGTTAGAGATGTAGAAAATGTAAAGAACTTCTAATACTTTTTTATTTTTATCGCTAATTTTATTTTACGTAATATTGGACTAAAATGAATGAGCGTCAATATGGATGCACATACGATGTCTTCAATTTGCTTGGGAATGAGGGGCATTGTTGTTGTTGCCAACATTTTCAGTGCAAGTACAGTCTTCTTTATTTGTATGAAATATATCAATTTTATCCACTCAGTTTGAATGCATTCACTGCCTATCGAAGACCCAATTATGTAATCCTAGCAGGAGACAAATCTAAAGAGGGGGAAATAAGGTTGTCTACGGGGAAGTAAAGGAGGGTATTCGTTCTACTTGTCCGATTGTGTGCTTATTTGGAGCTTACAGTTCCTTGTACGACACAATTTGTCACTTAGCGGTCAATAAGTCATAAAACATCCACCCTAGTATTAGCACAGTTCAATTCCTATTTCAAAGAGTTCATTGTCAAAATGCAGAAGAGCAATGCAGGAAAAGATATATCCAAATCTCAGATCCTATCCTCTCAAAACTTGGAGAGAGAAAGCCGCCCTTCATATGCAGCTGTTCTTTTCCCTAATTATCTCTGCCCCCATCTCCCCCGTTTCACTTCCCTTTTCATTCAATACATTACCAAGTTATAGGTATATAACTAGTAAAAGCATCATCGTTTCTTAAGCACCTTTTTCGTAATATTGTCCTTTCTTGCCTCATATAAAATGCAGCCAAAAAGATGTAGTTGCATATCAGAACAAATAGAAAGGAAAATGACCCAGTTTGTGGGAGAAACAATCAGCAGAAACAATAGACATAAATTCGCATTTGCCTCCTGGAAAGGGTCAGCTGGATATTAAATGATATTAGCTCTGAATATAGATATCCGGTGAAGAAAGACTCGTTCTGCTTTACTGCAAAGAGGGACAATCAGGAAAACATAGCAGAATCATATGCTCTTCAACACTATGGCAGCTTTACTCCAAAGAGGGACAATCAGAAAACATAGCAGAATCATATGCTCTTCAACACCATGCATTATCGCATCCGATACTGCTGAGTCGTTGAAACAAAACAACGCCGACCATTTACAGAGTACTTGAGCATTATATCAACATCTCGAGGATTTTTCTTGTTGGGGGCCACAGTCATGCTCCCAACTACAGCTTCCCCTTGGCAAAGTGTAAGCCCCTCTTCCAGGTAGAGTACCGTTTGCTTCCAGTGTGTACCACGAGACCTTGGTCCTGCATATCATTTGCTCTCATGGTCAGAATTAAGAAGATCTTATACTATAATGCCCTCTTTTCCTCTCCTTTTTATTTTATTTGGGATGAGTAAAGTTGGGTGGACCTTAAATTAGTTATAAATTCCAATCCACCGACTCAGAAACGGAGATCTAGTACATGTAATTGAAAGACTTAGTACTACATAAAGTCCAAACGCCCATCACCAAAAAAATGTGCAGCAGCAAGTCAAGGAGCTGCACAACATGTAATATGGTTTCCTTCAATTTCATCAACAGATGGAATTGGGTGCACACCCCCTTCTCCTCCTACCCTCCCCTAGCAAACCTCCCCCCTCCCCCCAAAACACAACCCAAAAAAAATGCACAAAAGTTGATACAAGCAGCACGAGCAAGCACAAAAATTATGAACCTGTTGAGAAGCCCATCAATTTGTGACACTTCGTGAAAGAGACATCAAAGTATGCTACAAGGGCATGAATGTAATCGTCACGTTCTGCGACTAACTTAAATGGAACTGTGAAGGAAGCATCACCAGAAGCCATCTTAGAAATGTCCATTGTCTGTAAAAGAAAAAGGGATCCAGATGTAAGTGAAGTAAAAAAAAAAAAAAAAAACTCCACAACACATTGTAGGGCCACTCAATGTGGAAAATTTGAGGACAACTAATCTAATTACCTTGAGTAATTGGCAGTTTGTAACAATCTGCTTCTGATCTACTGTATCAACAAGTGGCTCCATTATAGCTTGCTTCCGAATGCAGCTCATATCAAAACCATACACACTATTCCAAACTGCATTAGCATATAAATGATTGGAATCAGAGTGAAGTTTAGCCCATTAATGAAGAAGACCGATGTAACAAGAAAAGCCCATGAGAAGTGCATGCTAAATACAGAAGCAAGTCAATATCCATCAAGGAGAAGACGTGAAAGTGCTCAATCTCACATTCGATTTTCTCATCCTTGTAGTCAGCATCTTCAATTGCTGTTAAATAGAGAGAAGCTTTATCTGGCAGCACAAGGCCATCTTTTACCTGTAAAGGAAGAAGAAAGGGTATACAATAAGAAGCCTTTTTGAGTAGAATTCACCAACCAAAAAGTGGAGCACAAAAAAGAAACTCCAGAAAATTGGTTTGCAAATTAAATCAGCTAACCTGGGGAACACTACTGAAAGCAATAATCAGAGAAAGTTCATTAAACAGGGATAAAAGTTTTTCTGAGGAAACTGAGACACATTGTCTCGTCAGAATTTTTGGTGACGCTAGGTCTTTAATAAGCCAGCGATGAACTACTTAAATACAAATTCTCATAGTACACTCAATTTATTTCCTTTATCGAGGTTTGAGAATTCAAAAGTAAGTTTTAGTGGATATTGAGTGTCTTAAAATTTTCTTTTTCCTTTTTTTGGGTGACTGTGGGGTTTGACTTGGTGCTTTGTGAAAGGAAGAAGGATCAGCATGAAGGATTGATCAATGCAGGAAATGTGATGATAGCTGAAATATGTTTGATTGGTGGGGACGACATGTTGGGCAAAGTCTAGATTGGCATTCAATGGTAGAATGCAACCCACGCCTTTTTCTTTGAACCCATCGCCAAGCTTTAATTAATAAGCTTGGTGCAATTAATATAGAAGAGGTTGCGAATGTCACAGTGTCATGACTTGGAAAAGGACAGGGGCCCTCTTCCTTACTCCCCACTTATATTTCATTACTACCAACACTTCTTCCTGCTCATACCTTTTACTTTCTTCCATCATTTCCATTTTCCCTTAAAAAGCATCCTGGGCTGCACGTGTCCAGGTTCCCCCACAGTATGTCAAAAGCTTTTTATTTGCTTATTGCATAAACAAGAAAAAACACCACAAAGGTCCAACATAAATAATAATTCAAGAAAAAAGCTATTATATGCAAGTGATGTCAGCCAAAAGCCCAGAAGATGAATTTGAAGATAGACATCTTCCAAAACGGGAATTAATACCTGTAGAAATCATGGCATTTACTGTAATAAGTAGCGAAGGCATGAGTAGTAACAAATTCCATGGGAAACTTTATTATGAATCAAAAAATGAATAAGAGTATACACACAAGGATATCTAGATAAAAGCAATAAGATATCAGCAGAGAACCTGAAATTCAAGAACTGAATGTTGCATTAACCAAAAGCAGCAACAGTAAACCATCACGAGTGAAAGCAACTTTTGATGGTCACAACTAAACGCAACTTACCAGCCATTTGTTACGAGCATACAAGACTGTATTTAACATGTTCTCATAGAGTAGAAAATATCCCATCCACTCAGAAATAATGATGTCCACTTGTGGAACTGGAAGGTCAATCTCTTCTACCTTTCCCTTGATAACAGTTATAACTGAGAAAGCAAACAGACCCAATAATTAGATAATATGTAAACACGGCAGAAACGTGTCACAAAGTTTATGACTTGGTGAAAAAACTAGCTCACCGTCTGAGAACCCATTGAGTTTTACAATTTCTTTGGCCATATCAGCCATGCTGGAGCACTCAATCTGAAAACCAAAATGGCAAAGATAAGTTAGCATTAGCTTCTTCAATTTTACAAATTTGCTCGACATCAATTTATGAGCTAATACTGCAACATCTATATAATGTAGAACAGAGAAGACAACAAATTTTTACACAGTGCACGTGGACCACGACAGCCACCATGTTATGATCAAGAAAGAACAAGGAATAAGCATAATATAGAAGTGATAGTATGGCCGAAGAACAAGAGATGGAGTTCACACCGCATAAACATGTTTGGCACCAACTTTTGCACAAAAGAGGGATAGGATTCCTGTGCCAGCACCCACATCAAGGACCACTTTATCCTTGATTAAGAAGGAGTTCTTGTAAATAACATTTTGGTAAGTCTTAGTTCTCACCACATCCTTTAACATCTCCTGTTGGGAGTAAGAATTACTATTAGAACCACGAATTAAAAACTATTTAAGCAAAACCTGAGGGCAGAGCACCATCACTTAATGATGAAATATGGGGGTACTTACTTCATGAATGCCTGCATTAGAAGGAAGGAGGAAAATTAGCTTCTATAAGTGATTACCAACTATATCAAGCTACATCCCCTTCACATTCCGGGAAAATGAAATGTGCACACAAGTACATTAAGTAGTACTTTTTTGCTAAGGCAACACAAGCAACCCGAATAACTCAGCAAACGCACAGATGATTGATAATGTATCAAGAGGCCACCCTTCACATTATAGAACAGACAAACGAAGACACGCACATAGAATTGAGGAATCACGGAACAGAAATGGGTACACTGAAAAGCTTAAAGAGATAAATTACCGAAGTGAGAGTATGAGTCGAAATAATAGTCAGCGCTAGTCTTGTCGCCCCCAACCTCACACATGGAGGTGTCTTCCTCCACCTCAACGTTGGAACTTTCCGTTATAGTTTCATCTTGCTCTTCATACTCACATTTCATCTTGCTTCCCGAGCTCTCATTCTCATTGTTGCTTCGACAATCCATTTTTCGCTTCCAAGTGTAGGGGTTTAAGAAGCAAATGGTGGCTCCTATTTAGGGTTTATGGAAGGGGAGCGGTCAGCTCTATTTGGGGTTTTATAGCGAAGAAGTTTCACTTGGGGTGCAACTTGGCCTACTGCTCACCTGTTTACACTGACGATCAGAATTCAGAGGGTAACTATACGACGTCGTGGTCGGGTATACGGGGTCGTGCTCGTCTTAAATCACATTTGTGGGCCAGCTTTTCTTTTGGATTGTTTGTCCTTTCCCGAACTCTTCTGCCGTCAAAATTTGAATTAAAAAACGGAACAAAAAATCTATTGAATTTCTTTTTTGTGTTATTTTATGACTAAAATAATGGGAGAATTGCACATAAGTACAACTCATACACACACATTGCAACTGAGTAGCTCAGTTATAACTTTGCAAATCTATAGTCCAAAGACAATAGGCCCAAATCTGAAAAATCCAGCATTTTTTGACGCAACCAGCAATTCTTGCGGTCAATGCTATTCAACATTCCTATTGTTGAGGAGAGCTTCTGTATTTATCTTCTACCAAAATCAGTGTTTTACTATTAACTTTATGAGACAATTAATAAAAATATTTAAAATATAAAAAAGCGTAAGAAAAAAAAAAACTTGGTAAGCTTTTCCCCTTTTATCAGAGACAGAGAATTTGTTGTAATTTCAATTAAATAGTTATTAAATATATAGTATATGAATATAAAAGTAGAAGAACAAAGAATAAGTTAACCCAAAACAGAGAACAGAGATTTTTTTTTCCTTCAATGGTGCCACTAATAGAGTTTAACCCAAAACAGAGAATAAGTTAAAAACAAACAAAGGAGGTTGTCCAGCTCGAGAAAAGGTAAGAAAACATACAAAAATTTAATTTCGCCTTTCTACATTCTTATACACTGGTATACACATAATTATACAAAATTATACGCACTTATACATATTTATCGACTTGGTATAATAGTATATAAGAGATATTTACATACCCATATACACTATTATATAATATTATACATTGTTATACAATTGAATTCTATCAATGGAGCTTCACAGGTTTTCTTCTTCTTTCGTGAGCCTTTACTGAAATTTGACTTAAATCTAGTTCAAATCTGCTCTAAATCACTTCAAATTTAAGCTTTGAACTCCTCTTGATGTTTCCAATGAATCAGAACAATACCCAATCATGTTTTCAAGCAAACCCAATAACACCCATTTCAAAATTAATCTCAAATCTTAGGTCTAAGTGTGCTTTCAAACCCAAAAATCTCAGATATGGTTCAAACTTAAGCTTCACCCTTCAATGGAGTTTTTTTTTAATCAATCATATTTTAAATTTGAGAAACTTGAGCTCCAATAATAGAGGTTTTATGATTATATACACTTGAACGAAGAGAATACTAAACCTAGTTGAGGCAAATTTGTAACTAAACAACTTCAAATCTTGTTCAAAGATCAACTTCGCTGTTGGAGTTGAAGTGCGCTTATATGATAAGGCAGAATACACATAAAAGGGAGATATTAAGAAGCTTATGTGTGTTATGGACTGTGGAGGAACTGAGTATTTAATAATGGGCTAAATGATGAAAAGATTCTTTCAGGTTATGTACAACCCGGGCCAAACAGTGTAAGAACTTCCAACCTGAGCCATTTTCAGTTAGGCTGTTGGGACAAGTGATATTGGACGTAATTCTTTCTAAAATAATATTTGTAATAAACCATAGAAGGAGATCTCCTGAAAGATTTTGTACCACTAGTGATATAGTAATACCTTTTTTTGGTAATTAAAATAGTATTATTAATCACCAGTAATACGTACAAAACAAAAGCAACCTACAAGGTTACATTTCTCATGACTATCCTATGACACCAACAACCTTATATACTAAAAACATCAAAACTCCTATAAAGAACAAATAAACTCAAACAACTCCATGTTACCCCTAACTTAATGCACATAGTGATTTTCATTTCATGCTTCATTGTTTTCATGTTTGTAGCTCTATTTGAAATACTCTTGTATTCCTTTCGATCTAAATATCATACACTATAGCAACAAAGCAGGTTTGAGAGGTCCTCCTCTTGCTTTCTGTTTGAACACGTCGCTCATCTGATTCCCATGGCATAATATTTCTTTGCCATTTCAGCCATCTCAATATACTTTGCCCTAAAGTTCTTGAAAAAATGCACTCAAAGAATAAGTGTAGAGAAATTTCAGGCTGGAACTTGCACAGAACACAATCACCATCAAGCCTCATGCCCCATCTGAGTAGGACACCCTTAGTTCTCAATTTTTTCAGTAAAGCCAATCATAATATAAAGACATGTTTAGGACATGCAGCATTGTGATAAACAAGGTTCTTCCAAGGGACATTATCAACATCTTCTCTGAGTGCACTATAAGCAGCTTTTGTGTGAAATTTCCCTTTTCTTCAGTTGAGGATATGCTCCTAGAGTTTGCTAGTTCTTTCTCATGTTCAATATCTCACCATCCAAGAAGCTTGTTTCGGTACCTCCATATATAGTAAATAGGTTTTGCTTCTTTATATAATATGTTTGTACCCAGGTAATCCATAACTTCTCTTTATTCTGACTCAGAGCCCATATAAGTTTACACACAGCAACTTGATTCCATATTTTCAAATTAAAAACATTAAGCCCATCTTGCTCCTCTAGTTTAACGACCGACCGATCGTCTTGAGCTCTAGCGCATCGTTCGGCGGTTTGATGCCATAAATAGCTTCACTTCAGGTATTATGACTTGTACGTATGGTCGGAATTGAATGTCGGGAAGTTCGGAGCTGATTTGGGAAGAAAATTCTAATTTCGGAAGCTTTAAGTTGGAGGAATTGATTAAGGTTTAATTTCTGAGTAAAAGACCTCGGAATCAGGATTTGAAGGTTCCAACAGATTTGTATGATGATTTCCGGATCAGGTTTTGGATGAACTAGGAGCGTTTCGGTGCCTATGGTGGAAAGTTGACATTTTGGAAGGATTTCATAAAGTTGCGTTTAAGTGTATTTTAATGCTATCAATGTTCCTTTGGAATTCCGAGCCTGGGAATAGCTTCGTATGGTGATTCTGGTTTTAGAAGCGCGTCCGGATGTGGATTTGGAGGTCCGTAGGTCATTTTAGGGTCATTTTGGGGTCATTTGGCGAAAGTTGGAAGTTGGAGGTTTTCGGAAGTTCGACCGGGAGTGGACTTTTTGCTATCGGAGTCGGATTCCGATTTCGAAAATTGGAGTAGGCCCTTAATGTCAAATGTGACTTGTGTGCAAAATTTTAGGTCAATCGGATGTGTATGATAGGTTTCGACATCGAATGTATAAGTAGAAGTTCTAAAGTTCATTAAGCTCGAATTGGGGTGCAATTCATGATTTCGATGTTGTTTGATGTGATTTGAGGCCTCGAGTAAGTTTGTGTTATGTTATGGGACTGGTTGGTGTGATTGGACGGGGTCCCGGGGGCCTCGGGTGTGTTTCGGGGTGGTTTCGGACCAAATTGAAATGATGTTTCCTTCTTCGTGAACGCGAAAGGACTCATGAGTTCGCGAAGAAGACTTTTGGGGGCTACCGGATTTGCCCATCGCGAATGAGATGGGAGAGACGCGAACGCGGAGAAGGAACTAAGGCAACCTACGAACGCGACAAGGAGGTCGCGAACGCATAGAAGGAAAAGGGGAGATGGGCCTGGAGGAGCTAGGACATCGCACACGCGGAGTTTCAACCGCGAACGTGAAGCAGTAGGTCCCGAAGGCATCGCGAACGCGGCCCAACTGACGCGAAAGCGAGGGAGGGTCGCCTGGGCAGTGAAGTTTAAAAACGGGATTTGTCCCATTTTCTCCCATTTTCACTTGGTTGAGGCAATTTTGGAGAGCTTCAAGGAGGGCTTTTCATCAAGCAACACAAGGTAAGTAATTCCCACCTATTGCAAGTTAAATGCATGGATTCTATACGGATTTAAACATGAAAATTTATGAAAACTTGGGATTTTGGTAGAAAACCTAGAAATTGGTATTTTTGAATTTTGATCATAAAATTGGACATGAAATTTGGAATAAGTTATATATTTGAGTTCGTAATGTTATGGGTAGTGTTTATCTTCAAAAAAATTAGGAATCCGGGCACGTGACCCGGTGGTCACTTTATCGACTTTTCGAGCGGAGTTGAAAATTGTTATAAATTGAATTATAATGAGAATATATTTATGGATTTGCACATTGATTGACTAGTTTTGGAGCGATGGGCATCGATTTGAGTTGTTGGAAAAGCTTTGGAGCTGGGTATGGAACTTCGGAGCGAGGTAAGCCTCTTGTTTAACCCTGTGACGGGAAAACTACCCCTAGGTGATATTAACTGTTATGTGCTACTAGTTGTGGGTGCTACGTACGCACGAGGTGAACAGAGTCTGTATGTAGCTAAAGCATATTTATGTCCGGGTAGACGTAGGATTTCATCATGAAATATCTAAATTACTTGAGCTTATTCTGTTGACTTAATTAATTGAAAACATGATAGAATTTGATTTAGAAATTTAATACATCTTAGGCCCAGCCTTATCACTTGAATCGTTAGCAAGAAAAAAAATTGAGAAACATTAAAGGTTTTAACCCCCTTTATGCTCATGTACTATATTGTAAACACGCGTCTTGTAATTCGTAAATTTCTTCCTTTCTTGTGGAGCGGGCCGAATGCCTCGGCAGTATGTAGAGGTGTATCTCTGGTTCGTGTCGTTCGACCCTCAGCAGTGTACACCACTCTGGATCGGGTCGAACGACCTCGACAGAATCGTGCGTTATACCGCTAATAATCTGAATATTCACGAGATAAACTTTTCACTGACGCTTGACAGTTTATGGTATTTCTTATCTGATTGGTATTGACACTTGGCATTTATTTTGAGATATTGAGGTAGGACACATGATCGAGAAACTTATGCTATAAAAGAAATAATTGGAACGTTATGAAATTACCGATTACTCCCTTATTGCTGTGTACTTTACATTGTATGAATTATTGTATTAGTTATTTAATTAGACCTCTAGTAGGTGTCGATATCGTCACTACTCCTCCGAGGTTAGGCTAGATACTTACTGGGTACGCGTTGATGAACGTACTCATACTACAT